CTTCTGTATTTATTAGATTTTTTGGTAACAAAATAAACTACTTACGTGGAATCTTCTTTTACATTTTCAATTCTTAGGTATAAAAGTTGAAAATTTTATAAATTTTTAACTACAAAATAATTATTCAATTTTAAATTTGATAAATTTTGTCAAAATTCGATCTTTAAGTGCTTATAAAAAAAAAATTGTGCCTATGTATTTTTAATATTTTTCAACTGATATTGTAACAATATATCAGGAGCCTTGTATTAAATTTTTACACTTTCTGGCCTAACCGATAAAACTTAATTGATATTTATGGAAAAAAAAACTAAAATAATTGAAAACTGAAAATGTCAGTAAACAGCTCAAAAAGAGTCAAAATATTTTCAAAATTGTATGGTGTATAGGAAATGCTAATATTAACATCATTCAGTGAAATTTTAATGTATCTACAGTTATTCGTTTTTGAATTACAACAAAATAAGGAAATCCCTACATGAGAAATCGAGTGAACATCCAATATTGTAAAATTATGAACTTTAAACGCTTATAAAAATTTAATTTGATTTTCCGGTAGATATTTTTTTATTGATAAAGGTAGACAAACTTATGAGTAATCTTGTATTACATTTTCAAATCTTAGATTTAAAAAGAAAAATTTTTACGAATTCTTAACTCAAAATAATTTGCTAATTTTCTTGATTTTTCCATATTTTGTCAATTTTTGAACTTTAAATGCTTATAAAAAAAAACTGTGACTAAGGATTTTTAATATTTTTCATCTACCTTTAAAACAATATACTAGGAACCTTCTATTAAATTTTCAAGCTTTTTTAACAAACAAATAAAATTTTATTGATATTTTTAGAAAAAAAAATGGAAAATGAAAATGTTCCTAAACAGTTCAAAACATATTGTAATATTTTGAAAATTTGATCGTGTTTAGAAAATGCAAATATAAACAACCAGTGAAAATATATGTATGTATATCATGTATTAAGATCATTTGTTTTTGAGTTAGACCAAAAGCCAAAATCGATTTTATCAAAAACCGATTTTGCGTAAAAATTCCTGATTTTCCTTAATTTTAATGTTGTTGTTGCGTTTGTGAAAACTATTGGGAATTTTAAATGTTGACCTCCCAATGCACCAACGATATTCACTTTCCAATCGAACACAGACACAGACACAAAAAAATAAAAAATAAAAAAAAACACACATCATTGTAAAATCAATACATTTACCGTTTCACTCAGAATCTAAAACTACGTAACATACTCACTTGAAATTTGGAATAGAGGTTGTTCCCATATTTTCACCTTGCAACAATAAGAAAGGGATTTGCCGAAATTCGCATTTTAAATCGGTCCTCAAACAGGGACATTGAGGTTCACGATGGAAATTGGGAATTTTATTTTTATTTATTAATAGTTGCCATTGGTTACAGTCAACAGTAGAAATTAGTGTTTATATATTATAACGTTTTATTCATCGGATTTTAGTGCGGTTAGGTTAGGATAGGATTCTGTATAAATTGATTATATTAATCTACCGTAGGTGGAATTAAGTAAAAACGACAAACTTGGTATAACTTTGATACTTTAGAGTTAAAATATAAAGTTACGTACAAACAGCACGGGGTCCACGATCTACCGCAGGTAGATTGCTTAAATGATAATGTACTGCTGCGAATCAGAATTTTTATTCCGGGTAACGGAAAAGTTAGGATAAATGTTGAGCACGATACACCGAATATTAAATAACGAATTGAACAAAGGTTGAGTCATATAGAGTTGATTCATTTAACGAGAAAATAAGTGCACAGGATCAGCTATTATAGGTACCTATATAGGTACCTACAGCCGTATCACACAAGTATATCATATATTAACTTATTTTTCTAATCTCACGACTTTTTATTGACGTTATAGTTGTAAAAATAAATTCATAGTATAATTTTGAGTATTTCTTTAAAATTATTTTTATATAATTAAATTCCAAAGTTTGAAGTCTAGCCCCAGCTTCGATATTTGTACCTACCTTGAAAATTAAACTAAAACGTTTTACAATTTTAAATTATAATAATTATTTACCTCTGATAATAAAGGTCTGTTTTGAATTTATAACATTTTTAAAAGAAAATATTTGTTTTTACATTAGCTTATTTATAACTACTTATGGGATATTCAAATGTTAAGCCAGACCCACACTGTTTACAGCTATTAAAAATAAATAATAAACCAACTTAATAACTGTATAATGTTATAAGCCTGATGCTTATTGCTTACGGTGCAGGTAAATTACAGATAACAAGAGAACAAAAGATGATAATTTATAATAGGCAGCTAAAAATAAAGTCATTTATAGCATTCTCTATTCTCTAATGAATCATTTATCTGCATAAGAAACTAGTTGGGTGACTGTATAATATTTTTAAGTGTTAACTTTTACAGAGTGTACAGTTAGAAGGAATATGTAACTACTATTTAGTAGTTACTATATGTCCGGTGTCCCACATAGAATTTACTTCTGCTAGTAAGAAGTTTTGAATTTTGTCACAATATTGTAAAGCTCTTATCTCATCGATATCTAATACTAATAAATAGCATTTACAGATAATTATAACTATAATATAATGATTGTATTCTAATAGTATTTTACTATACATTTAGTACATGATATTTTTTATAAACTAATTCGTTAACATTTTACGGTACACTTAAAAAATAAGTTTTTTTTATGAAATAAAAATCATATAATTATATCAAATGATTTACAAAACAATGCTACCTATTCGTAAACTATTTTATAATAGCCAAAAATCTGAAGATTTTAATTAGAATTGGCTTCATGTTTTAAATGTATTATACTATCTACATTAAGCTGGCGTACATAAATCTACTCGTATCTACATTGTTGAATATCTTATAATCTGCTTACACCCGCTAAAGACCTGAAGTACGTCGATCATGGTCGTCATGTTTAGTGCTTACCATAGTTTATTTTATAAAATATTATGTTATTTTATGATTTTATTTTATTTTTAAGTGTGTACCCACATTCGGTTATCTGCTTTACACTTTTAATTCTGCACATTTCATTATTGACATTAGAAATTAATTTTAATCTATTTTATCACGTGTAACGGTATTGTTAGTTGTAATAATTTTTTTAGAAACATGATATTCAGATTCAAAGTGATTGTAATTTTTGAGTGTGTTGTATTATCAATGGAAACAGTTTATTAATTTCAAACATGGTTGCATACTATAGGTACCTAGTCAATATTTTTAACTCGTATAATGTACGTAAATCAGTTAATTTCTTAATTTTTATAAATAATATTTTGATACTATTAACATAGAAATTACCTACTATATTATACATTTATACCTCCATTATGATTCCAAGAAATTATGGGTTTTATTTTATATTATTGCAATTTTCTTTTTACTTGTATTAATTATTACCAACGTTGTATACTATATTTCTACATCTCGTTTAATATTTATACCAGGTACTTATATTTAATATTTATACACTTTACACCTCGCTTTACACATAGCAGCAAGTAATATCTCAATCATGCAAATCAGGCGATCTTACTGAGAATAATAATGTTTATTATAATGCTTGAATATTTTATTTTTGGAATCGTTCAAAGTATATAATGGATAAGTTCCCAAGGGTACATCTACAATCTACGTACTTATATTGGGACATTATCATTGTTCCAAATTAAATATTTAAATATTTTAAAGTCCTTTGAAGACGTGCTACGTTTTTGTCTAACTAGAATGAAATGTTTCGATTTTCTTTAATCTGTTTACTGTTGCCAGTGTGCTATAATTTTTTTTTTAACAGACACTACATTATGATGTAGTAGGTATATAATCAGAATTTATAGTTGATAAGTGGTTTAAAAAAGGAAAAAATTAATTATGGTCGATATATTACACTTGACGCAGTTTTCGACCAAAACATTATAGACTAATATTTAACGCTCTAACATTTGGGTTGAATTCCTAATAAATCCGTTTTTAAAAGCGTATACACGCTCGTTATTTTTCTGAAAACAATTTATGAAACTAAAACAAAAATATATATTATTTATATATATTTAAAAACATCCACAACCAGCGCAATAAAACCGTCATTGGATAAAATTCTAATTTGTGGGAGAGTCGCATCGACAAACATAATAATATGTTATATATTTTTATATGTAAAATATACATTTTTGTTATATGTGTATTATACAAACAAAATGTTTTAATTGTTTTGAAATTATTTATCGTGGTGACATATTTGAGTATTAAAATCATAATATTATTTCATACTTCCATTTACTTCACCTATATACTACGAGACTGATAGACTAACCTAGAGCGTGAACAGCCTTTTGAGATTCTGAGTGGAACGATGAATGTATTGATTTTACAATATTGATATGTGTGCTTTTTTGTATCTGTGTGCAACCATCAGTTTTAAGGGTGATTTTTAATAGAAAACTGAATCTATAGTTGGTACTTTTGGGAGTTAAAAAAAATTCCCAAAAATTACAAAATCAACGGAAAAAAGAAAAGCAGACAAGTAGATACCTAACTACTATATTCTGTTCAGTAGGACCAGTAAGTGTTGAGTGTACTTTATCATTGAGTAGGTCACTGTAATAGATGATGTGTTCCACTTGAATTCAATATTAAACCATTGCATACGGAAAACGATTTTGAGTGGAGACAGACTGTCATCAGTCTACTAAGTTTCATATTTTTATTGGTATTATAGTGATTTATTTTACTATTAGAAATATGGTAGGTTGAATTATTTTTTTTCTGACAACATGACTCAACTTCAATTTTAAATAGCGTATTTTTAACGTCAAATAGATTTTTGGGGAATACAACATTAAAAATTTAGTATAAAAGGTTCAATCATTCAAAACTAACCTCCTATGAAGCATTGCAGACAAATATTATATTACCTAATTAGTGATTTCGAATGTTTTCTTTTTTAAGATTCCAGATGCCACCACCCGACGACACACAATTGCAATACTTCTGTGTATCCAATTTTGGACTGGAAATTGTCCGGGTGGTTTTACCACTCGATGTTCAAATCGTGCCGACCTCTGTACTCTTTGAATGGCGAGAACGTTTGCCCTGAAAACCAAGACCTGCCAAAGACCAGAGAAATGTGCGAAGACTTATGCGGTAAGTTATGCAACGATGATGGTGTGTGTGTGTGTGAGTGTGTGTTGGTGGATATAGGAAGGCAAATAGGTCTGTTATTTTTATTTACATTATAAATATAATTCATATATTTTTAATTAACTAATTATTAAAAAAATAAAAATATCATATATTTAAACAAAAATTGAATTGTTCAATTGAGGATTACGGTGAATAGGTATAATTGTATGTATACACTAATTCCGAGTTGCATGAAAAGTGTATTAATTTAATTGTTCCATAAGACTTAATGGACCAATCATGGGCCACTAAATCATTTTTAAGGCACCATTATAGCAGCTCACTGTTGATTCGTTAATTTTTTTGTCATTCCTCATACAACCTGGCATAGTAAAATATTTATGTAACAGATTTGTTTTTTTTCGCTGTGTAGGTGAATCGTGCATCTTGAGCAACGGGGCGACGGGCATTTGCATGTTCAATCAAATGTGCAAGATCATAAACAACAAGCCCTCCGCCCACCCGAGACCATGTGGCAGTTACAACGTAAATTGCTGTCCAAAGGTATCCGACAGCAACTTGGTACCATACAGAGATCCTTCGGGAAACATCAACGGCAATGGCGAATTCGAAAACCGCATAAACGCCGCTGACCAATCGTCCTCCCAAAACGATACAATTTACATCTATCGTTTTCCAAATACTCCACTCATGGAAGGAAAACTCAAAAATTAGTACTCTACTAGCACCAGTAACATTGTTATAGTATTTAATAATTAGTTACTGACGTTTTTTTTTCTACTTAATATTATTACTTTTATTATAACACTATTATTATTTTAATTATAACTATTTTTATTATTATTGTTATATTTGTTATCATCGTCATATTATAATAATATACTATGATTACGCGTAACAAAATGTTTCAACCCGTGCAATACGTCACTATAAAACCATACAGATCAACAGTTTTACACGCCTTTTAAACTCTATATTTATTATTATATCCTGTGTTGGCTGTTTTGTACGAAAATTAACTGTTTAAAGGCCAATGCTTGCGTTCCGTCGTTCGATGTTTATTTATTACGTTTCAAGCAGTTGGCTTAAGCTTTTATATATTTTTATTTATTTTTTTGTTCATGATAAAGTTACTATGTAGTATGTACGGTTGAATATCAAAATATTATAATTTTTAATGTGCTTATCATTAATTATTAATTTTAACACTATTCAGTGTATTATTTTGATGTATTTTTTTTCATCTTATCATAATAAATCAAATAAATACAGATTTATAGTTCGTTATTTCATTACACAGGAAGCCATTAGCTTATTATTTTCTTATCATAATACTATATTAATAATACTATATTTGTTTAAAAATATAATTTGTATATTTAAGACAATCGTTAATTGTATGAGCTCTACGACTTGAACTAACCCTGTAGGTGAACCAAAGAGAAATAATCTTACGAAAATTATATAAAATTACCTATACATATTAATATTTATATATACTTAATTTCTAATGGGTAGGTACGTATTTTTAATTTATTAACGTCTACTAGGGTACCTTGGGTTTAATTAAAATGCACATATTGTTGGAATGTAATTCCGATAATATTGTTTTCGGGCGGGTTTTGACGAATTTTGACGAAATTGGATATTCACTCGTAAAATAACGATTTCTCATCTAATGGTTTCAGTTTTTTTTTTTGTAATTCAAAAAGTATTATTCTCCTATACCTTTGAATTGATATATCGTAAAATAAATATATTTTATAAAATACTATACAAAACTTAAATAAAATATATATCAACACGTAATTTAGGCTTATTATTAAAGGTATATTATTGATTCACCGTTTTTTATAAGTAAGTACCTACATATTTGAATATTTCTTATTTTTAAATGTGGGTATATTTATACAAAACATAGTAATTAATTAATGTTTTATACTTTATAGCATGTATTTTAGAGATTTTTACTACTTTGTAGAGCATATAATTATTCCAATCATATTTATTAGAATTAAATTCATAGTCCGGGGACTGGAACCTTTTGAATTTATCGGTATCGGATCCGGCACTGGTTCTTCAAAGAAAAAACTTCCGGTTCGTTTCTGGTTTTTTGATAAAACAAAATAAAGGTATTGGTTCCAAATAATTTCGGTACTGGTTCCAAATAATTTAGGAACCGAAAAGTAAAATAATTTTAAATACCTATCCGGAATGGGGATTTAATTAGTAGTATGAGAAATATTATAAAACTCATATGATCATACATAGTTTATTCACAAAACAGTAATACTACTAAATTATGATAAATAAAATTATTTTATTTTTGAACCTAAAAAATTAAAAAACCTATTTAATTTAAAAATTCCTGTTCGGTTCAGGTAACTTTATTTATTAAAATGAAGGTTTCGGTTCCGGTTCTGGTACTTAATATTTTAAAGGTTTTGGTTCCAGAACTGGTTCTTTTAGATTCGGTTCCAGTCCCTGATTTGTACATATTTTCATCGATACATAAGTAAATAAGTTATAAGCATGATTCGTTTGAAATTAAAAATAATCCTTTAGTTTCACATCAGAGAAAAACTATTTTTGTTACCATTTACAACACTATTCATTTAATTGATTTTTATATGTAGACTGAACTGAAGGTAAATTATGAATTTACTATTATTATTAAATTCAATCAATGTCATAACATTATTAATAATTAATAAATTAATAGTAAATATGACTATATTGTATTCACTCCAAAACAAATAATCAAACATGACATAATTTTCATAATACCTATGATTAGGTGTTTACAACAATAAAAATAATAATAATAATAATAATAATAATAAATAATATTTTAAGTGTAGATAACAAGTTCGTGATATTTTCGGTTTCAAGTGGCCATCTATAGCTATAATATATGTATGGATATTGGTATAACCATTGATTATGAATACTAATTGAATACTAATACTAGTGTTCATAATCATTTGTATAACTTATAACTGTAGCAAAAGTGCGACACCAGCTAATGTCCATTTCGATGATTTATCTTTGCTTTTAAGACTAAAAGTCCACACATACGTCGGGCCTCTCGTTCTAGTTTTGTACACTGGACATTCGTAAACGTTCCGTGAATCTTGTTTGTCCTGTGTAATAGCCTGCAAGTTTAACATAAGAAATGTTTGTCAACAAATCGAGTAAGAAAAATGTTAAATTAAAATATTAAAATATATAAATATATCTAATATATTATTAACTTTAATCGTAATTTAAATTCTATAACTTAACTATAACTATAACTGAATTATAAGTTATACATGATGTGTACACAAAATCGCATAGGTATAAGTCTATGAATGATCTAGAGATATTAAAATACGGTAGGTATATTATTCTTTGTTTGTATAATACCTATCCGACTTAGAACATTTAAGTACGTATAGTAACCTAAATTATCGGAAATTGAACACAGTTTATACAACTATCTATTGTATATTATGGCTACTTTTAAAGTGGCTTAATAATTTCAGAAAATATTTAAATAACCACAATAATACAAGAATTATTTTAGAGTAAATTAATACTTAGAGTCATGCTACTATAATCCCCTGATATATCTAAAGTGACTAGAAAAATGTTTAAATAAAAATAATATAAATAATATAGACTATAGTTATAATTCAAAGTAAATCATGCTATTAAATATAAAATTAATTTTTTAATAATATTAACTAATATTTTTTTTTAAAACTATTTTTGTTGAATGTGACTTGTATAAAATAATTGTATACCATGTGTATTTTACCTCGTGCAATATAATTTTATACCACTGTATATACAGACTCACATCTCTAGAAATGTCTGCCAAATTTACTTTGAAACGTATTCAGAATACTATTCACACTTACTCGGACATTAATCACCGGCATTTGAGGGAATAGCTCTTTGAGTTTGGATTCCATTATGACCCCTTGCATTATATCCCATCGGGCTCCTTCCATAAAAAGCCCATGAATGTAAGCCCCGTCTCTAGCAGCTCCACTGAAAAATCATCATCGGTAAGCACTAAGCATTACAAATCATAAACTACGTCTGTAGTTGGCTGACAGTTGCATTTGAGATACGCTTGTCAAGTAGGTAGGTATAATTATTATTATCGACCTGAATTATTACTCACCTGAACTCTTCCTTGTGCTTTTTCGTCACGTCACACTGGAGACACATTTTGTCGAGAGGCAATTCGTGTTTCCTCGCTGTACTCTGCATAATCGCCGTCAAAAACGATTGAGGATTGAAAAATCCAGAAAGCCAAACTGACGTGGGTACCTTGAACGGTGACAATTCGATAATTTCTATATATTTTGTATTTTATTGCAATAATTACTTATTGTACTTAAGTCCGTTTATATTTAAAATAAATAAATAAATAAATATATTAATATATTATTCGTAAAATAATAGTAAATTATTTGTAACTTGCAACTAACACACAACACAACATAGGTAGGTACTCGAACAGACTTTTTACCGATTAACGCTAATTGCATTGAAAAGTATAGTACACATGATTCAATTTTTTAGGACAATTTAAAATAGGTACATATTACATTATATGCAATTCTAAAATGTATAGATTTTGTATTCCTTATTTTTTCATCATAATCATGAAAACATTTATAGACTTGTGTTTTTTAAATGTTGAATTCTAACTTAAACGAATTAATCTGAAGCAAATTACTTTTATGAAAATGCCATTTTTTTAAATTAATAATAACTCAGATGTATTCAAAATTTGACGACTGGTGCATAATGCAATAAATGAACCACAAATTTCAAGTAGTAGGTAGTACTAGGTACCCAAGTTTTCACTTCTGACATCATCATAATATATTATTAATTTTACATAACATACATTAATTTATTATAAATATTGTATCAGCCATAAGATTTATTATAACGTAGACAATATTTTATTTATTTTTACTTTTTTAAATATAAGTCAAGTAGTATTAACTATTAGATTTCTGTGCGTAAAATATAAAACCACAATTAATTTACAAATTATATAATAATATATACAGTTACGTATACTCACGACAAAATCAGTGGTCCACGTTTCTAACTCTCTAATACGTAGCAAAAGATCGGAAAACCATGCTCCAAGACCAAGAAGAGACGGATAAGCCCGATTTGTCCACACCAGAGGGATCTGGTCCAGGAACAAAGCGTTTTCCAAGTCTTCCATGTCCGAAGTAATGGTTAATTCACCCTAAAAATATAATTGATTTCGACGATTAGTCATAAACATGTTGTAATTAACACGTTTACCTTAAGTCCAAGTTCTAGTTCTTTCAGAGACCGTTTCATTTCGCTAGTTAGAAAGTTCATCCGTTGGCACTCTTGAAAGGCTACAATCACGTAGGGTGTCCTTTCTTCGACTTTACCCATCATCTCTATTATGTTAAATTCTTCGGGTAATTTTTCTAACGTTTCGTCGACAATCTGTTTTACCTAAAAAGAATAAAAAAACAAAATATTGACACATTTTCGGTTACTCGTCCACATTTATTAAAATTATTCTATTTTGTTCTACACTAGTAGGTATATATGTTTTTACGATAAGAATGTTTGGTGAGAATGGTTATTCGACACGAGACTATACTTGTAGTGTCGAGATCAACTTTGCACCGGATTTAGCTTAACATCGTGTTGCGATTCCGGGTGTTGGTTCTTAACAGACGGAAGTTACAACTTATATAATGTTCTAAGGCGCTCACCTTGTCTTCTCTAGTGACGTTCGTGCCCCCGATCGCACCTGCTTCCCGTGGCTGCATTTCGAATACCGTGCGAAACAAATTTTCGGACGTCGTACTCATGAATCCAATTTCAGCGTTGGGATGCAAGCCGTATAGCACAGGGTTCTCGGCCGGTAAGACTTCGTCGATGTAGTTGTGATAACCTTGATAATCCGTGTTTGGTGGCGCGGGGAAACCCGGGGCGAGGTGAAGATCTCCGTCGACCTGTACGAGATATAACAGGTAAGATAATTCCATTCGTTGTAGCTCGTAAACGGTTAAAACCGGTTTATATCTCGTATACAAATATACATATTTGTATTATATATGTCTCATATATAATATTATATATTAATATGTATTGTATACCGGAGGAGTGGCTGAAAAGAATGGTCAGAGGGCCTAGAGTAGAATATACATGAAATTACGATGATATCGATCACCGATAAGTATAAATGTATAATACAGATATACACTTTAGGATGAAAAAATAGTAAGAAACAGGACCGTCACGGAAAACAGGACGAATAGCGTCCTGTTTAATTTCGATTGGATAAACGAGACGCCTAGCTGAAAAACAGGAATATCCTGTTTAAAACGGGGCCTATGATCACTCTAAATATATTATATGATGTTATATATTTAAATCAACTGCGTGACATATTAAGATTTATCTACCAGGTCAGACTGCATCAGTTCCTCCAAGTATGATATACACAATTTTCTATCCCAATCGTCCGTTATGTGGCCACCGTACATAATTTCACCAAATAAATACCTCAGGTCTTCCCACGGGACTTTATTATTGGCTTCCAAATAGTTGAACAGCACGCTGACGCTGATATTTAAGTCACCTGGATGGAAAACGACACGGTGAGATTGAGATAACATTTTAATAAGGGTCGCACAGGCCAATCATTTACACTCTTGGCAAGGGTATATTCTTACCGACGTTAAATGGATAGATCTTGTTCCACCCCTGCGCACCGAATTTCCTCCGTTCGGCGACTACGGCGTGGAAATAACAAAGTGAAAATAGAATCGCTTTGAACTCGGCTTCTTTGGACGACATCTCCAGTGTTTCTTGGTTGAAATTCTCCAACGCCTTGTGCAAATTGGCTTGCATACCCGTCGGCGGTTCGTTTGTGATTTTGATACACGATTCCAAAATTCCCTAACGTGGTGGATACAAACAATGTTATAAAAATAAATAAAACTCTAATAGAATTATCCTAAAAGATTTAAAAATGTCTTAGGCCTTTAACAGTCTATGTTACGAACAATTTAGATCAGTATAATATACTATATAATATAATATATTATATTGGTTGTGTATAAAAAAGCGATATAAAGTGGTTGGCTTTATATTATAGTAGCGAACTATATAAACGTATTTGGTAAATTTTTTTTTTAATGATGGGTATAATATCTTCAATTTGAAAGTTATCAGGATTAAGTCTATGTTTTATTAAAGAGCATTTCCTATTGCATACCATACTAAGTGCACACAACTTAAGGAGATTAGAACTATGTTTTTTATCGCTGTTTTATAACATCGATCTCCGGTCTAGCGTGCATTTAGGTCAAAACATAATTAATGCGTTTTAAACAGGTAAATAAAAAAAGTTAAGTACTTGTGGAATAATGTGTGCCGACGCCGTAGCGGCCGGTTCAGCGCTTAAAAATAGCCTATAGCTTGGATGAGCTGTGTCTCCGAGTAGTTCCATTTTCTTTTCAAGTGTCGGTAGCCATTTTTTCACTAAATGTATATTCTGAAATTAAAAAAAACATGGCTTATGATCTAAGTAGGTACTTTCCTAACTTTCATCCCACAACCATTATTTGTTTTTGTTCTATAAAATGGTAGAAGCTGAAGTAATTGATGTAATGAACAATCAAAATTTAAAATATTATGAATACTTAATATGAAATTTTGTTGATAACTAGTTTGAACATAAATAATATTATACAATTAGGTATGATTAATATTATATTGTAACAGATTTTGCCAGAAACTTCGTCTTGCTTACTGTTTTCAATTAAAAAATAATTTATTGTGAGTTAGAGCGTTTCCACAGTGCCACACTGGGTTTGGGAACTACTATTATAGTGTAGTGGTGACGCTATAGCCTATAAGCAAAAACAAATCGTCACACGGGAACGATGGCATCCAAATTGCCTATCCTAAACGCCGTATTTTATTTTAATATTCTAACTCGCAATATATTATTTTTTAAATACGATAAGCCAAAAATTGTTTTTACTAACACGTATCTACCAGTTTTTTCAAATCACTTTTATACATAATATATCACATCTTTTTATTCATGTATCTATTATATGAAATGTGTAAAAACAAAAAGTCACGTTTAATAAGAAACTAAAAAAATATTGGTAAAACGGTTATACAAACTGGTACAAAATATATCATAATATATCATAAATATATAAGCGCATAATTACATAATACTGTAGTAATAATTTGGGTATTAATATAAGTTTACAGCTGAAGTATTTTGGTATTCTTATAATTTTTTTTTTTAATAAGAACATAATTATTTAAATATTAGAATATTTATTCGAACATACTCGTAACATTTTTATATTTTTATGATTTTAATATGTACCTGAAGAACGACCCAATGACCATTTTGAGCGGAAATTTCCATTGCACTTTCGGCAACGACTTCTTGGCCTTGACCTAATGACACATTGTGAAAATTGTTTAATCCAGTTGAAATGCCTAGTTTATGTCCCAAATCTTCAACATCCTGAACAAATAGTAATATAATTTATAATAAACATAGTATTATGTACAATGTACTTTGTATATTATTATACTATAGAAATAAAATTATTTGATACATAAACGATACTTTAATAAAATATAATATACATAATATATTGTGTTACCAGCTATATTATTTCATTTCAAAAAATTATGTTTCGAGAACATATATTGTTTACGTTCATTTAATTTATTAATTTTTAAATTTTAAAACAAGTAAATATTTTCAGACTAATTTTTGATATTTTTGAAATAAAATTTGGTTGTTTAAGTTATGGTGACATTATCTATAATTGAAATGTTTAATTTGTTCAAAGAAACTGTAACATCGTGAACATTTTTAGAATTGTTTTAAATTTTAGAAGGTGCTCTTCTGCTTATGTATAAAAACTATAGTTCTAGTATTATATTAGAAGCATTACTCATTAGTATAATATAAGTATACTATAGTCTATAGGTACATACTTCTATTTAGTACTATTATACCAGTACTTTAAATCTAGTTATTTATGATACAGTCATACAGACATCAAATTCAATCAAACAACATGCGATCATTTTTAACAATTTATAATAAAATATATAAAGACTAGTATTTTAAAGAAGACAGGTTGTTTTATTAATTATATGTCTATGGTTTCATAAAAAAAAAGTGGTTTGTGAAAACTAGTTTTTACAGATTTCGGGTCTTAACTGTAATGTAAAAAACAAAACATTATATTTAAACTATAAGCTTCTTAGAAGTTTGCCAGTTCACTCTCAAAATCTTAAATTAAAAATTATTTCGTGTATAAATAATTAATAAAAAGTACATGCATTCAAATAAGTACTAGTTAAGTAAACATTTACCTAACTAAAATCTCATAAGTACTATTATCAGTGATAAGAATATTACTTTTAACGGGTTTACTCCTGGGGAAAGAATAAAGAAAATCGGTGTTGTTGGACTAGTTTCTTCAAACGACTTTGCAAATTCCACGCTTCTACCTTCTACATACTTTGAACCAAGTTTTTCTTCAATAAAAACCCTGAACAAAATAGATAATAATAAATTAGCTTAAAATAAAATTAATTAATCAATTTTGATTTAATAGGTAATCAAACATATAATAAAAATTAAAAATCATAAATAAAAAAAAAATCGAAATACTAACGACATAGCATAAGTCATTCGGTCTGGGCGTAATGCCCTCATCATCATGAGTCTTTGTAGCGACACTTTATTTTTCCATTCTTGAGGGAATTTTTCACGTTCTGGACAATCCGATTCAACAAATTTTTTCCATCTTTTTGATGATGTTTCGATATCACGGTCTAAATTTCTAAAAAAAAAATATATAAACGCAGTTTTAACAATTTTAGAAACTATTTCATTATTTTACTGGTTTATATGTAATTCGACATTTTTAAAATACCTGAATTCGTCTTTAGTCGACAAGCTTCTAACACCTGACCAACTTGAATTGGACAAAAATTCTACTGGACTGCTAATATGCTGAGCTGTCGGGAATCTCAAGAAGAAATCTAACTCTTGTGGAGCTATTTCTTCACTCATTAATAATATCTACAATAAGTTTTTTTTTTAAATAACTTCCATCGTAACGATATGAATATAAAAATAAATTGAATATTTATATGCCGAATTAATAATTATTGATATAATAGTTAGTTAATTTTGTTATTTATACTAAAACTATATAAATATAATAAAAAAATTTGCGTTCCTAGTATTTAAAAAAAATCATATTATTGTATTGATAAAATAAATTAGTAATTACATTTTATAATGATTTCACAAACACAGAAACTATAAAAATTGAATGGCAATCCTAGTGGCTTATAACTCAATAATACATTTTTACACATGCGGTAGGTACCTAAATTATAAATTTATAACTCGTGATCAATGATCATACATTAATTTTGTTTTATATATAAACATATAGTATGAATGTTTATAATAATACTAAACTAATAATTTAATTAATTATGAAAAAGTAGAAACCTGGGAAATAGCTTTACTATTATAATAGGTTAACGAGATACCTGATACACTCATGTTAAGAACGAAATAAAAAAACCAGGAGAACTCTCTCTGAACGTATATTTAGTTATACAATTCGAGTGTGTACGTCTTCATCGAGTAGATCACTGCAGTAATTTATGTGTTTTATTTGAATTCAATAATAAATGTAGGTAAACATTTAATTATAAAATCACTTTTTTTTTTTTAAATGTATTAATGTACCTATTGTTTATATTTTTAAATTTTTTTAAGAACAACTTTTGAGGAACCTTGTATAAATGTTAATTTCTTATTAATTATAATCAAAACTAAAATTGATATTAAATTATTAACAAAAACTGGTGATACGTAAATATTAATCTTAAATATGCAAGGCTCATCCGTGATATATTAATTAAAACCGAAACAAAAAAAGACCAAGAGGGAGACCTCTTTAACGATGGATAGACCGAGTAATCAAGGATGCGAAATAAGTAGATGATGGAGTGACGTGAGAAATAGCAAGAAAACGTGACAAATGGGACTTGATTGAAGCTTGTAAAAAGCCTTCAAAGCCTGTTAAACACTAAAAAAAAAAATGATCACAGTCATTGAAGAATGAAAAATTGAAAACTAATATATTAAATTATTATAATATATCATTAAAGTATATTGTAGGTACCTCTACTATGAAAACAATAAATTAGGTATTTGATTTGATTTAATTTATTATCATCATACCAAAAAAAATAGATCGATAACGAACTACTAAACTCAAAGTAGGAGTATAGTATGGTATGGGCGTTAAGTGTGAATAATATAATACTATATTTAAATTTTAAAGATTAATCAAGGTATCTCGACGCCTGTGTGGCTGTGTATTATCAATAATATTGTTTTAGGTACCCGATATATCTATATTATTGTATATCTATATCTATATCTATATTATTTCTATGACTGTACTATTTAATTTATTATTTATAATATTTATTTTCATGACATCGCTCACTTGGAATGTCATCTGCGACGCGAATATCAGTTTGTCACATTCGAACAGCCCTCTAGAAGTGTACACGAAGACGAAGTAGGTGATACAGTCGATCAAATTGTTCACTCTCAGCGATACGGTTTCCGCCGGAACCGATTTTTCAATGGCGTTGTTAAACACTACGCTAAAAGCCTACAGTTTTCGATATGTTATATTAGGTAGTATTCATCATGTTATTTAAATGAGCAGTGGCGGATTTAAGGTGGGCTAGAGCCCTCCCCCCCCATTGGTCTAGCATCTAAGTTAATAAATTGGGCCATTTTTAAATACTTGTGTCTTAAAACTTGGAAAAAGACGACGAGCCCCCGAAAATTCTACTTCCACCACTGTAAATGCGCGTATTTGAATCGCTTTCTCTTGATGATTTTTTACCTTTAACGAGAATTGATAGACCAGATTGATAGTATTCAGTTCGTTGAGTATGAAATACAACAGACTAGCCCTCGCAGCTGCAGGTCTATAATGTTCTCTGGCTTCGTCAATCTTTTCCGACGTGATTTTTGCCTCGGCGACTTTCTGTTGTATCTCTGCAGCAGTTCTTTTTGTCGTTTCCAAATTTTCCACCAACGCCGTGTCACTTAATATGTTATCTTTAAAGTAAAAATATTTTTTAATATTTAGGTTGATAGACAAATACAGCAAATAAAAATTAGTGAATGATATTCAATTAATAACGTTCTCTCTTTTAAGATAACCTATAATATACTATTAGGCGTTTATCAGTAAGGTATTTTCAATGTTTTTCGTTCAATACTAAAAACTGAAAACGAAAATTGGTTAAATATTAAGGTTAATATCAGGGCCTTGCACCCGAATTAACCGGAACCCCTAACACCCCTAAAAACCCTTAAAAAAAACAAACACCTGAAACACATATAATCCGAATAATTCTGTTTTCAAAACACCCGAATTACCCAAAACCCGAATAAAACTTTCTGGTTAATCCGAAACTTTGTTTTTACAATCTTTATGTAATATATAATTTTGTATGTATTTCTTGTGGTGAGTTTGATTCTGTAGTTAGTTGTTTAATAATAATAATAATAAATTAACAGGAACAATTTTACAATCAATCATAGGTAAATTTAATAATTATTTTCTTGAAAACAAAATCCAATAAAATCATTAAAAGGAAGTGATACCCAGTACTAACCATGCATAAAATAAGTATAATATATCTAATCAATTATTCATAATCTAATTATTATATATATAAACTGTTTCTTCTTCTTAGAACTGAACGATGGTTATTCCGTGTATATATTGCATTATATGTATATTAATATCACGGACTATTAAGATGACTAAACTTAGCCCATGGGTTTACTATACAGTGATATAGTGGCTTGGGGGGGGGGGGGTCTTAACTCAACTAAATATCCCACTAGCCCCTCAAAAACAGTCATTTTAAAAAAAGGTGGGTAAGTGGATGTCGCTCTGCTGTACAGTAGGTTACAAGTGGGTCACTGTATAATGGATGGTATTAAATTTGAATTCAATGATAAAATATCATTGTATAAGAAAAACGATTCTCAGCGAAGACTGTATGTCAGTCTAGGTTTAAGACATATTATATACATATCTATGGTATTAAAAAAAAAATTGACCTAATACGATAATATATCGTATAGTTAATTAAAAAGTAAAAAGGTGGGTAAGTGGATGTCGCTCTGCTGTACAGTATGTTACGTGTGGGTCACTGTATAAAGGATGCTATTAAATTTGAATTCAATGATACAATATCATTGTATAAGAAAAACGATTCTGAGCGAAGACTGTATGTCAGTCTAGGTTTAAGACATATTATATACATATCTATGGTATTAAAAAAAAATTGACCTATAATAAATTCCAAATTAATCATATCACAATATCCATTAGGTACTTATAAGTTATAACACGTTATACATCAATAACAAACCCTGATACTATCATATATATAATATAGTGTAATTTAGAAGTTTCAAGTACCCACGAATAGTATTATACACTCACAACAAAATAACTAAAATAGGTAGGTATGCTAGGTTTTTTAATATGTAATTTCTTATCTTAAATAATCTTACTTTTTCTCGTCTAGATAATTATTGTTATTACTTAAAATTATAAAAATTGGCAATTGTAGTATATCACATATTAATACATTAGTTAAAAAAATAATTGAAGATGTTAGGATTCATAAACAGGAACATGATTAATTTTAAAAATATTAATTCATTTAATACATTATATGATTTAATTTCACTGTTATATTTGCCAAATTGAGATTCTATGTACTGTACTATATTATTACTAAAGGGCACCACCTACCCGTTTATAAATAAATAAATAAATATTATGGCGGGGACGAGGTGGCCGAGTGGTCTAACGCGTCGTCTGCGGCGCTGGCAGTCGCGGGTTCGACTCCCGGCCACTGGGCGGCATTTTTCTCCGGGCAAGTCACGGTGTCCGGAAAACAAGCGCCGCCATCCCCCACTCCGGGGTATGGCAGAAACCTACGGGTGCCCCATTCAAAATTCTGCCAAAATACACCCACGTGTAACACCCCCCTACCGTTAAAAACCTACAGTACCCACCCATCTCCCAATGGCCTAAGTTGCCGCGGGATAAAATTAATAAAAAAAAAAAAAAAAATATTATGGCAATGTGGTGGATTGGGAAAATATTTATTTTAAAAATGACCAAAGAAGAATCTAACTTAAAGATAGTAACATATTATATAATATTAATAATATTATACAATAAACTATATTACTATAATATTGTTCCAATAGGATACTGGATAATGTTCATATTATGTACTCTAATATATTTTATTTTTTTTGTGTCTGAACATCTGAAGACATTTTTCTAGTAAAAAGATTCGATTTTAAACTTCGAAGGTGGTTCCAAGTAACCAATTGGATCTAGTTGGTACTTTTAAAAATGTCCGCACTTATTTTTATAATCAGGACGGAATTCGTAAATATCGCAAATTATTTTGTCAACATAATATTGTCTTCATTCTTCGCTCTAAATAGTTTTTGATCGTAATTCATAAACAGTTTAAGTTAAGCAGTTAAATTCTAATTCAAATGAAATAATACATCTATAATTACAGCATAATAAAATTATTTTATAATATTGTTATAAATTACTAATAACTTACTAGAGTCTAAAGATGATAAGCGATTACAAAAGTGTATGAATTTGTTAGCTGTCCTAGTTTTTTAATCATCTAGTCAAATCAAAATTTTACGCACACATTAGTATTTTTTACACTAGTATTTAGTAACATTAATTATACTATAATCATAAATCAATGATAGTAATTAATCTACCTATTGAATTCTATTTGCATTTATTTATTTGACAAATTTATGCCCTCAGTTATTTCTTTGATTTTTAATAATGGTATACAAATTAAATTATTCACTTTTATCGCACCTAAGGTGATCTAATGAGTAATGAGTTATTTGGGTATTTGCTAAAAACGACGCTCGTTTATTTGTAATCAAGTAAAATTGCAGGCGACGATATTTTCTATAATGTAACAGAATGTAACAGGAACGGTATGCTATGATCGTGATTGCCGTTGAGCGAGTAACTACTGCCGCCGCGCGTCGTTCAGTCGTTGCAACAGCCGCCGAGCCGCCGCCGCCGAAACTGAAGAAAAATAACGATTAGATCATGATTCCCTGGTACTCCGGCACCACTCTTTTACATTTTACTTCATAAGTTTTAGTTCGTACGTTTCAGTAGTGTTTTTACCAACCCGATCAACCAGATAAACCCACAGACCAACATAATATGCATATCTTTATATTACGTGAGGCGATTTCTTATGACAGTTATATCTGAAGTTCTACTGGACCGATTTACATGATTTCTTTTTCTAACGCAAGTACTAGGTGTGCAGATGAGCCATCAAAAGAGAAAAGTCCAAAAAATTAATTATTTAAATAGTTATTAGAAGTATTAAGTTTGCCGTATTGTTACATAGCGGCATTCGTTGACTACGCGGGCTGCCGCCGTTATAACCCACACCACTTCAACGTCTACTACAGTACTGCATTGTCGTCGTCGGCGGCTGCGATGTACATTTATTATATATTTATATTTTATTCTGTGGCAGCGTGGCATTGTTATCGTCATCGTCGTCGTTGAATAAAAACCAAACTATTTTCGATTTCGTCATTTCGCGTACAGCAGAACTCATTAAAATTATTATTATATATTATTATTATTATTAATATACCTACATTTAAAAGGAATAAATATAAAAATGTGAAATGAACATCTCTGCTCAGGCTAGACTCTGGAACTACTTATCAGATCTTCTTGATTCATTTTTAAACGTAAGAGTATTCACGGAGAAAATTTTAGGAAAATCCACCTGTGTATAATATATTGGTTGCTATTGGTTGATCGGGCATGTTAGTTGATTTGTATTATTATCTTTTGTCAATATATATAATATATATACAAGACGATCTAATAAGTAGTTCCAGAGTTTAGTCTGTATAGTTATAGTCTGTGTATTTATATAGTTAGATATATATAAACTAATGTTTGTAGGTAGATTAGACCTCTGGGAAGAAGATAAGTTAATTTCAAAGGGTTAAATTTGTTTTTTTTTATTCATCAGATTTTATTAGGGTTAGGTTAGGATAAGATTTTGTATAAATTGATTATATTAATCTACCGTAGGTGGAATTAAGTAAAAACGACTAACTTCGTATAACTTTGATTCTTTAGAGTTAAATATACACTTACGTACAAACCTACTTGATAATGTACTGCTGCGAATCAGAATTTTTATTCGGGGCAACGGAAAGATCAAGATAAATTTTGAACACCACACACCGAATATTAAATAATGAATTGAACAAAGTTCGAGTTATATAGAGTTACAGGATCAACTAGTATTATTATTATTATTATTGTTCAGTTTGATAATAATATGAAGCCGGATTCCCACGACTGGTGTACTTGTCAAATACGCCAATAATTGTACATTAGGGTGTTCACATGACTGGTGTACTTGGCAAGTAGGCCAATACTTGAGCACTTGTACAAGTATCCAAGTCCACTGTTCCCACGGCTGGCTGTTATAGCAAATATTGGTGGTGGGGGTCACATTTTAATAATAATTTAATATTTTATTTTTTATAACATTTTTACTTTTTGTTTTTGTGGAATTTAAGTTAGAAACTTGTAGTCCTAAATCCTATAATCGTTGTGTGGTAGAGACTTACCTACTAAATAGTTAATTATTTAAAGTTATAATTTGATATAATTTAATCAATAATTTATCGGACCGTGATAAGTAGTGCTCGAGTTGGGGGGAGGACATTTTCCCCCAATTATTTTAAAGTTTACTATTTAATATGAAATTAATTTATGCCTATTGTCTAATATTTTCAAATATTTTCATAAATATAATGTCTACAAGAAACTCAACTTAAATTTTTATTTATTTGAAATTCATATTTTTACAACATTTGATAATCACTCGATTTCTCATTTAGGTAACGATTTTCTTATTATGTTGTAATTAAAAAACGAATGACTGTAGATACTCGAAAACTTCACTGAATGTTTTTATTAG